CAACTCATATATATATATATATATATATATATATATATAGCACTAGGAATGGATGAGTTCTTTGTAAGTGTCTATTTTAGTTAATGAATGAGGTTACAATTATTCCAGATCTGCTTATAGTTGTGAGGTAGATGGCTATTATCATTAATTATGTTATACATTACAGCCTCTCTATGATCTTTGTCAGCTTCTTGATTAAATTAAAACTGAATTTTTATGTGTACTTGACACTGGGAGCTCATTTGCATACCAACCAAACGGGGGTCTTGGGGGTGCCGCAGCCACATCAAGACATGAGACATTTGCGCTTCCTATTTTACTGAAAATTTGTATGGACTTGAACTACCATTTACCAACACAGCACTGTGCTCTAAAAGACAACAGGAAAAAGGCCATTCAATAGTGCCTGAGAGAATACAATATTTACTGGTTCCCTGTGGCAAAAAGCTTTCCGTCCGGTTGCAAGCTCGTGGCTGTACCAAAGGTAGGCTTAGCAAGGGGCTTACTGGCTAAGCACCCAGCTTGAAATTCCTGCTAACATCGTGCGGAAAATCGTGGCACTTTGACACACTATAGGCCAGGGACTTTTAACTATTTCCCACACTTCTGCTACAAGTCCTCATAAGTAAACCCATAAATGCTGCAACTCCCCTCATATTTGCTACCAAGTCTTCGAAAATATACACCGTAAATGCAGCACCTCCCAGTATAGAAATATTTAGGAGTGAGCCTGGGTACTTGATCACTATGTTTGTGTACTTAGTTTAATCTGCATTTATATGGACCATATTGTAGAATATTCACGGCTGGAATAAATTTTGGAGTTCCTTGTTATTTCAAAAACGGATGTAATAAAATGCCATTCATCTTCATTAACTCATGGAAAATCCCAGATGTATAAATACAATAAAAAAGATAAAAATGCATACATGCTGAAAACGCAAGTGTTTACTGTAATTTCATTTTCCTTTATCAATCTAGAGTGTTTTATTGATTGAGTGCTTGATTGAATGATGGTCGAATATTTTGCACGGAAATATAGAAAAAATTCACAATTACAGTCAATTTTCTTTCTAGAGTCAAATTTCAGTTTTAATTAATTTAATGAAACCTTTCAGGTGGAGAGCACATAGATTTATTTATTTAATTGACTTATTAACCATATTTTGAGTGAGCTACCCTTACAGAACGTTTCTGATGTTCAGGGGCCCACTTAAATACAAAAATATAAAATTTATATAAAAATAAAGCCTACTATCTAACAACGTGTAGGTTATAATAATTACTAATTATTAAAACAAACACCAGGGAAAGAAGGCTAAGAAAATAGTGAATATAAGTTGTTGTTTAAAATGTGTTTCTTGGGGTATATTTTAAATGTGTTGTATGATGGTGTTTATTAAACAAACATTAGAGAAATAAACACACCCAAATATAGGATTTGAAAGTGCTTAGTAATAATACAAATATGGTGGTGGATATTTAACTGGTAAAATGCTTATTCATCAGCCTAGAATTTTGGTGATGATTAGTAAGGGTCCAATCCAAAAGATGAGGCAAATTTGTTTTATAGCCAGTAACATATACACTTTATAATAGAAATAAGACTGATTTAATGTTAGAGATTCACACTCATCTACATAAAATATAAAATGACTCACAATTAACTGTCATGTCATTTTAACAGTCTTTTGTTTTCAACGTTAAGTAAACATTCACACCGACTTAAAAAAAAAACTCATCCTTTTCGCTCTCATTTCGTTGAACCGTTAATATGAATTCTTATTTTTGAGCACTTCTCGCTCTAAACTGAAAGTCAGGAAGTTAACTATGTGTCATGTAGCGTTTCCTAATGTGTAACGTTTCTGTCGAAGAAAGCAGGAAAACAATTTGCAAACCACGGAACATGTCTTTGATCTTCCGTTGCTTAGTTATATAAACTTTGTAAAAATATCTTGTTAATTTTTGAAATTCTTTTTAAAAACTTCCTTTTCATTAAAAAAAAGATGTTATTTTGCTTCAAATTGGCCTCTTTTTAATACAACTTTAAATTTTTTACCTATGAAGTCGGTGTTGGGTTTTTTAAAAAAATGTATAAAATGAAATATTTTATTTGCTATATTTGTGATAATATTAGTACTGTATAAGAATTTAGTACAAAAAATTATCACCAATACAAGAAAGGAAACATCTATAGAATATGGTAAAAAGTTACTAGTATATTTTTGTTACAAACGTTTGTTTACTACAAATACCCTCAAATTGGCTAAAGGCACCCTTTCGGTATTAACTCTATACCACCATTTTTTATCAGTTGTCATTTAATGTTATGGGATGTTTTTGTGTGCGTGTTTTTCTTTAGCCTTTAAGCATAAAAGTTTATGGTTGTTGCATAACTAGGACAAAAAAGCCATTTTATATTTTTGGTTAAGATCATTAAACTCAGCAGAATAGCTACATTCTTTCCATTTGAAAATTAGGCTTTTGGATTATAACATTCTTTTTGCCCAGAAAGAAAAAAAAAATGTTATCGAATATTGAGGTATAATATTAATAACCTGGGTTAAGTTCTTTCCACACTGTCAAATTTTCTTTGACAAACAACTGTTGTATGCCCATATATGGTCATGATGTGCCTATATATGGTCGTGATGTGATGTCATCATGACCATATTTAGGCATGTCACCTGTTCTTGTCAAATAAAATTTGATAGTGTGTACAGGCCTTCAGTTGTTTTGAGAGCCTTTTGCGTCCTTGTTTAACCCATCTCCAGCTAAGCTAGGTCTGGAGGTGTTCCTCAGTAGTCATTCTATCCTTCAATCATCATTCTTTATGTAACGCAAATGCACATATATTCCTAATGAGTTGGTTGTGTCAGCTATAGGCAGATCATCTCATTTGCTTTTAGCAGAGAGTTGTGACGTATGTTGTAAATGACATGGAAATTATATCACTATGTACAAGATAGGCTCATTCCAGCCACTATGGATTAAAATCTAGCATCATGAATATTAAAACATGATTTATTGATTTTTTTTACTCATTAGAAATTTGTTTTTAACCGCTGCATATTTTAGTTATGTTTTGTGAAATTTTATTTAGACCACCAAAATATAAAATTTATGAAATGATTTTATTTGGTTAATCCCTATAATGAAGCTTCAGTTGTGGCAAAAATCTTAGATTTTATCTTCCACAATAAAATAAGTATTTTTATATTTAAACTTCCAAATAAGGCAAATTGTCATTTGAACTGCGCATTGCCCGTAGCAAGGTCAGTCAACATAAACCCATATTGCGTATATGTTTGTGTACGTCGATTCACCTTGATACAGACGTGCAGTTAAAAGTAAGAATTGGCTTATTAAGATCAAAATAAGACCCTTGACCGTCAGTCTTGTATACCCAATGTGAATTCATTTCAGACTATACTGATGCGCTATGATTGACCACAACAGTTCAGGAAACTGGCTTAACCAAATATATCCTCCATTCAATAAAGTATGAATCCACCCACACTTAAAGTCATGTGATCTGCTTTTACATAATCAGATTATGGGTGAAAGCGTGAAAAAAATAGAACATTCGCACATGCAAAGGCAGTAACCCCAAAACCAGAAGCCACAATGGATGTTGGATTATTAAAATGTCGTATCCATTGTAAGATCCGGTATCACAGACACCTAACCAGCACATGAGAACCCCTCATCTTGAGGTTTATGAACACCTATCAAACAGACCGCCGGTATAGGAAGTTTGTCACACCGTTTTCAACAAGTTTACACATATTTTACGATCAGATTTAAGGTTTCGCCAGAATGCATTAGAATGATCGTGAGGTGTTTTTTGTTAGCTATAAAATGTATGCTTTGAAATGGACATTGTCTGATTTATGTGTTTACAATTTTATGAATGTTGTGGTTAATGTATTTAAACCCAAATTTCACAGTAAGATCTGTAGAATGAATGTTGTGGTTAACGTATTTAAACCCAAAATTCACAGTAAGATCTGTAGAACATATTTATTACTTGTGGTTTTTTTTTGTTTATATTTTTTTTACAAATTTTAATTTATTGTGTTTAACATGTGTGTGTTCAATTTTTATTTTAAAATTAGATTGCCATCATGTTGATTGTGTACTAATTTTTTTATTTCTTGTGTTTATTAGTGTATTCTCTAATATAATTATTTTTGACATGATGTGATTCTTGTTTTGAAAGTTGCACATATCTCAATTTATAAACTAATTTTCCAATCAGATAGATTGGATGCTTTCCATCTTGGCAAGCTTCAGTATAAAGCCCGGTCAAGATTTTAAAAATTTATTGACAAAAACATGCGACATGTCTAAATATGGTTATGATGACATCACATCAAATTTTATGGTGTGGACTGGTCTTAAATGCTTGGTTTCCATAGAATCGCTCACCCTATTGGCGGCAGTCGCCGACAGTTGTCTGGAAGGTTGAACTTTGCCGATTGTGTATTGTGAATCAGGTGCCTTTCCGATTGTGTTAGAACAGCTAGCAATGCAAGCTGATTTGTCTGCAACGCAATCGGCAAAGTTAAACCAGGTTCAACCTTCCCGACAACTGTCGGTGACTGTCGCCGATAGGGTGACCAATTCTATGGAAACCAAGCTTTACTCTATAGTTCTCTCATATTACACAGGCTTTAGGAATACAGCACATCTTATCCTATTTTTTAAATATTATTGTATACCTTTTAATACATATATTTTAATCTAGATTCTTTGTGTCAATTCCATATATAAAAATTAATTTGTTTACAAAATTGTTTACTGTCTTAAATGAGTCTTAAATTTTTTTAATAATTTTTTTTTTCTATTGCAGGATGAAGCGAACTTTGAGTTCAAGTAGTGGGAGCTCAAGCGAATCTGACTCGGAAAGCGAGAGCAGCGACAGTGATGTGTCCGTTAGCGATGCAGAGGAAGATACGAATGAACAAGTGAAGGTAGGAAGGGTCAATTCACAGAGTAAGGGTAAAGCTCTCTCAACACTTACAAAAAAACTGATGTATGCCCATATTTAGTCATGATGTGCCTCTGTATGGTCATGATGTGATGTCATCATGATATATTTAGGCATGCTTGCCTTTCAGTTCCTGGATCCTCTGTTGAAATCCTAGTTCTCATGACTGAAAAACAACTCCCTAAAGGGATGTCGTTAAGCCTGATGATAGTGAGGATAATGATGGTGGCTATGTTAACGACAATGTTCATAATGATGACATTGATGGATGTTTGACAATGTTAATTATGATGATAAAAACGGTATTGATGATGATAGTGATGACAATGATAATGAAAGATGTTGAGTATATCTGATGATGATGATGATGAAATTAACACTGATGGTTGGTAGTAATATTTATGATAGTGGGAGGATGATATTGGTTGCTAGTTGATAATAATAGCGACTATAGTATGTTGGGAAAAGTTCTGTACTAACTCCTTTTTTTTTTTTCTTTTTTTTTCAGACTAGTGGAAAGTGGTCGTTGAGCCAATATGTGCAGAAATTACACAGTGAACAAAACAAATCACCAGGCGTGTCATCGTCCATCCCTACATCTAATGGCCCACGATTTTTTTCGGAGCAAGATGGTGGCCAAAGAAAATCTCCAGGTACTTTTGGTCGCAGCTTTGAATTGCCCACCGCCGCAGACAGTGGTAGCAATAAGGACATCTTCAACAAATACGATCATTTTAAAACGTTTCGGGATTTATCAGAGAAAGCTCAAGCTCCGACATTGCAGTCGGAGAAGGCAGAAATTCGGAAGTCCACCGTAAATACCAAAAGTAGTAATCCTACCGTTGCTCCAAGAAAGGAGCAAGTGAAAGACAAACAGAAAAGTGGTAAAACGAAAGGCCTACCAAAGAAAACAAAGCCGAGTTCAAAACCGATTGCGAGCCAACAACCTAAGAGCAAGAGTGCACAAAAGCACTCGGTTAGTCCCATGAAATCGCCCGTAAAAGGCGAGACCAAGAAGGTGACAAACTCTAAACCTAAAGTTGAACCAAATAGTAAAAACGGTAAATCAAAGAAAACTATAACTAAGGAGTTTGTGACTCCAGAATTTGTGGTTACTAGTAGTGACAGTGAGGATGACGATAATATATCGGAAAAAGTTTACGTTGCTCCGCAACCGCAAAAGTCACGCAGCCACTCTGTTCAAAAGCTATCGGCTGTTTCACGCAGCCCAGCAGTTGTACGTAGTCCGGGAGTTTCACGGAGTCCAGCTGTTTCTCATGCCTCGTCTGATTCGAGGACCCCAGAACAACGTCAAGAAAGTAAGAAGGCTAGCCAGGATAGTAAGAAATCCTCGAATAAATTAAACAAGCCTCGGACTAATAAAGAAAAATCAAGCTCCACAAAGTTAAAGAAAATAAGTCGGACTACTGAAGAAATATTTAATAACGAAATTACGGAGCAAATTTTATCACCTATCAAAAGCAGCTCTGAGCATGCTCTGTCGAAATCTCATATAGTTTACAAAGAGGATGGCAATCCCTCATTAGTTGTAAGGTTTGACCTCGAAAACTTGGACAACATTCCACGGAAACGAATGCCTTCGGAAGCACATGACGAAGTCGAAAAGGATGGCAGGGAAGAACCAGTACATGTGGAGGAACCAAAACCGGTAACATCAGTGAGGGTGCAAAAGAGAAAACCAGAACAAGTTAGTGAGAGTGTAAGTATGGTAAAATCTTCAAATATCACCATTGGATATGTTTCCATTTCCACATCCTTTTGCTTCCCAGAATTTTAATTTGTATTACAAAAACATGTATCAATACATGAGGTATTAACTCTACTATTTGTTCCCTATAATTTGCAAAATTGAATACCTCATTCAAACATTGTAATTTAAATTATAACTAGCCAGAGAAGTGTCTGTGTAAATTTTGTAATTTGTCAAAGTCTAAATCTACAGTTCATAACAAGAATTAATATTCAAAATACATCTACTATTTCGCATATAAAGGGGTGAATTATAATGTTACACAATGTAACTGTTGTGTGTTATTAGAATTATGAATTAAGTACAATTGTTATAGTAGCATCGAGGAGTTTATGAACAAATAAGTTTTTGTGAAATTTGTCAGTTAGAAAAAATTCTTAAAATTAATAATGATTTCAATCATTCACATGTGAACAGTTGTTTTTTTCAAAAACATTGAATTTCATCCATATTTAGGAGGAAAGGCAGCGAGTTGGAATCAAGAAACCAAAATTACTAACAAAATCGAAATCACCAAGAGCTGAAGGAGTCAGGTAAACAGTGCCCTCTATGTTAAATAAAGCTGCTTTATTTTAAAATAGTTTTTACTAAAATCTAGTTGATGTTAATGAGTAATGAATGAAGATAATCAATTTTCCACACTATTATGCTCTATGTGACAAACACTTAATTTGCCATATATGGATGTGATGTGACATCTTCATTCCACATATGGCAAATCACCAATATTTTTATGGACAGGATTACAAATTTATCACTCAATTGGTTTATGATCATTTCTTTTTTTGTAAAAATGTTGAGTTGTTCACTCTTAGATTAGTCTTCAGTTTCTATGCATCACATATTTTATGTTAGTTTTATGTGTTGCTGAAATTTTGCTAAAAATTTTACTAGTAGTACATGTGGCTGGAAAAATGACTCATCAATAATATAGAATCGTTGAACTATTTGTGATAAGCGAAAATCATTTTAAAAAAATGTTGTTTAAAAAAGTAATTTTCGACTCGTTAGTTTCTCAACTATATCACATAAAAAAATATTTATTTTCTCATAAATTTTCAGCACGCCACATGATTGTGATGAAACTCCGGTTGAAAGAAATCCGGTACTCGAGAGGCAATCAAGCGTGACAAGTATGTGTAGTTTACAGTCCGAACAAAGTGTAAAAAGTGAAAAACCAAATTCAGCGAGTAAAAAACGTAAACAACCATCCATCTCACGCACGAAGTCAACACAGAAGGATCATAGTAAGATACGTGAATGGGATGCACCTACCGTCAAACGAGAACGACGCCCGGAGGATTTAGAATCGACCAATAAGATGAGTAGGACATGTTCGGGGGCAGCGGATCACGACACGAGGCCGAGCGCCGTCGTGAGACCTAGACCTCGGGTTGAAATATCAGAAAGGTAAGGTTTTGGTATCTGGTTTCTCTATGAAATACAAAACTTTGTTGATTAAAAACAAATAAGCAGCCATTTTTCAGGTGAATTTTCGTAAAGGCTTTTGTTACAATTGCCTTCTTAGATCTATAGTATGTTTATAATAACTCTGGGAATATATGAAAGAAAGATATAATTATGGAAAGTGTTTTTCCGATGGTTTAATGTCTCAGATCGCAAAGGCTGTAGGATTATTGTATCAGCATGAATGAACAGGAAATATATCGTTTGAAAAAATGTATTGAGCATTCCCCAGACGGGCAATTGTGAAGCTTGGCAATAAGAAGTCATTTGAACGCAGTGAGAAACGGCCAGCCGCGGTCGTTATGTTTTCTCCACCGGGGCAAGTCATGGAAGTCGTAGATGCTGTTTAAGAGGTGGCATTCTAACATCTTTCGAGCTGTAAAATCGTCTGTGTTCTCCCCCGGGACATAACGCTGTGCATTGATTAGAACATTTGGGAACTAGCTTAGTAAATTTTGATGTAATGATCGTGATTAACAAGAGCTGAAAAATTAACACAAATTAGTTATTAATGTATTAAGTGAGGATAAAAAATTGGCCATAAGAGATGTACTTAAAGCATTTAAATAACATAATTGCTTACATGTGGTTGTTTAGTTCTTCTGTATTGATATGCTCATATATGGGAAATCTTATCTTTTGTGTTTCTAGAAATAAACTGTTCTTTCTAGAATCACCAAAAAAAAAACCTAATGTTATTTTATTGAGCTGATGTAATTGTGACATTTTTGACCAAGAGATATCTATAGAAAATGACGAGTTAAATGACCATCCTTATGTCACTCTCTTGATATTCTTTTTGACAACATTGGAAACAAAAATTATGTGCAGATTTTAACTCTGAAGTAGCTATTTACTGTTCATCAGTACACATCT